TGTATGTATTTAACACTTTGAATATTTTAAAATAAAATATTTACCCTGGATAACAATTAAAATTGAAGTATAATATGACTAAATTCACTTAACAATGATCTCTGTGACTGTTTTTCCTACCCTCATCCAAGCAAATGCGTACAGGAGCCTTTGGTTTTAGACATTTGTAGTCTTTAGAAACAAGCTATTGTAATTTAAAAATAAAAACCCTTTCATTGAGTGCAGGAACATAAAATAGGAATAAAACACTTTCTTCTAAAACAAAGACTAGAAGGACAAAGCCTTGTCTTTTTAAAAATTTTAATTATAATTAATTCTTAAGTAGAATAGCTAAAAGTATAAAGTACCTGTTAAAAATTTATATAGGAAATCTAAGCAACAAAAATGCATAAGGACACCTACAAATTAGTGTCTAACAAAGGCATATGTTTCTGTGTGCTATGACAAAACACACTGAGCAGTTTAGCAATTAATTACCAGAATAGGCTGTGAAACACAATACCTGAGAAACCTTTTGAAAAATCCTTCTAAAAAGTCAGCAGTTTCCACTTATTCATAGCAAATTTGCCACCTCTTCAACCTAATACTTCATGGTTTTGTTGTATGTGTGTGTGTGTGTGTGTGTGTGTGTGTAACAAATGCTCATAATATGCGCTGATTAAAGCATCACAAATTCTGATGTTACAGTTCTGTAGGTCAGAAGTCAGAAATGAGTTAAAAATTGTGTCCCCAGGGCCAAGTTTCTCTGTGGCTCTAAGTGAGACTTGTTTCCTGTCTTTTCCAACTTCTAGGAGCCACCTGTATTCTTTGGCTTTGGGTTCTTTTCTCCACCAAAACTAAGTCAAGTCCTCACACCCCTTTACTTGACCTACTCTTTTGATTCCTTCTCCACCCTTGTGATTAGAAAGGACCCACCCAGATAATCCAGCATAATCTTTTTTTGTTAAAGTCAGCTGATGGGTAACTCTTAATGTAATGAAACTTCCGTCCTCCAATACTGTGGAAGGTGATATCTTCAAAGATTACAATCATTAGGAGGCAGATTTCTGTGGTGAGGAGCCATTGTTCTGCCTGCCATGTGTGCCATTGTTAGGTTCCTAATCTCTGTAATTCTGCTATGTTTTTATGTAAGATATGATCATTGCACGAGGTTGGGTAGAAGGTATTTAGGATTTTCTATGGCTTCTGCAACTGTATAAGCCTAGATTATTTCAAAATAAAAGGCTAAAAAGTACTTGGGGGATTGAATGAAAATGTATAAAAACATTTATAGAATTTCACAAATTTCAGAGAAATAAAATGGATCAAAGGAGAGCTATCACATGGCTTCTCTTTTATGAGAAACCCCAAATATAAATGAAGTGCAAAATAAAAGACAGACAATGGGAGATACCAAAAGAGATCTTTAGCATATGGGGAGAGAACCAAGAGATGGAGTGAGTAGAAATGCAGAGGAGGGAAATGTGGTTGAAGAAGGGTGGTGTTATAAAGTGTTCTTTACACGCACCATGTCCCTACAAAGAGTGATTGTTAAATACTACAAACATGTATAATCTCTCTCCCCTACTTCCCCATTTATACTGAATGAACAGACCTAAGAGATTCGGAGAGGAAAGGGGAAGGACAGAGGGCATGAAAATGAATAACAATATGACGTATGCATGAATATATAGCTTCACACATGCATAGTGAATATAGTTATTAGGTACTATGGACATGTTCCAATAAAAAATAGAAAATAGGATTATTTAACTGTGAAAATAGTAAATTAAGTAGTAAGCAGCAAATCAAAGTTGCAGGGAGGATGTAATTCTGTAGCAGAGCACTTGACTCTATGCACAGGGCCCTGGAGTCAATGCCCAGCTCTGCCAAAAAAAAAAAAGGAAAGAGGGGAGGAGGTGGGAGAGAGGAAGATTGATTATTTTCCTGTCTTACGGTTGTAAGCACATTTTACAGTGACCTCAATGAGTATTATCTAAATTTCCATCACTTTGAATAAAAAACTTCCTAACAGACCAAATTTCATATACTACATACCATAGTTTAACTTCACTATGGTTGATATATATATATGTAACTGCTCTCTGTGCCTATCAAGTAATAATCTAAACTTCTTAAAAAATCACTAAATTGCTCTAATAAATGTCATACTGCATTTTATATTTTTCCAAAAGACTGTCACCTTTTGTTTTACTTAATATCTTCTAATATTGTGCGATATATAAGGCAGGTTTTATTGTCCAGTTTTTCCAAATAACAAAAATTTGGGTTAAAAAAATTGCACGAGGACTTCTGATCCAGAGAAAGTACGTTTATGCCTTGTTCTGGTTCCAGAACAAGACAGTGACAGATGACGTTTAGAAGGAAAATAAGAGAGAAAGACATAACTCAAAATCAGGAACAGAAGCACACTAACAAACATAATGAAATAAGCCAAAGTTGTGGGCCTAGTAAGCTTCAAATATGGAAACCGCAGGGATACATGGGAGTTTGACACCCAAGTGGGAGCTGAGCCAGGATCACTGATGGGAAAACAGGGAACAGAAGGAAGCAGCAGCCCATTGCAATGAACAAGAAGACTGCAAAGCAAGAGGTAGCGCTCTCCAGCTGGGCTACTGCGGGTAGAGTATGTACCCGCACAAGGGATGAGCAGACACCAGCCCAGACCAAGCACTGGAAGCCACCTAACTTCCAGGCTGACTCTTGGGGCTGCCGTAGTGCCAACAGCACTATAGGTCAAGAGCAGTTTAATGTACTAGCTTGACAGCTGACTCCTCATCAAAATCAATGGGCAACAGAGCACAGTGAATTAATATCTTCATAGTACTGAAGGAAAATTATTCTCAATGTCAATTTATACTGGACGGTGCCACCCAAGAATGAGAAAAATAATTTGGCATGTACAAAATATATGACAATTTATCACTAATATTCACTGGAAGAAATCTTTAGTTCAATAAGAAAAATAAATCAAACCAAAGGGAAGATGTGATATTCAAAAATTAACACTGGTCATGGTGATTTATAGAATGCCTGTAAGTTTAATTAGGTAATTAAGAATTTATAATATATTTTTTTCCTTTTCAATGAGTGAAATTAATTAGAAAATCTCAAATGTGATTAATGTGTGGAAACTGCAGTAAACTTTACTAGAAAAATTGATAAAGAAAAAAGTTAACTTAAAATTCTACTTCACAGAAATAAGATCTATAAATACAAAGAATGGAAGAAGAAATAGAAGTTTAGATAATTTTAACAAGGTTTATCACTTCAACTGTAGAAGAAAGAAACTGTTAAAGCCAGTAAACAAAGCATCATAATTTAAGAAATATTTACATCTAAATAACAATGAAATATTACATATAAAATCATATGAAATGCTGCAAAAGTACTTTGGGAATAAATTTGTGCCTTAAATTTTTTGTTTTAAAAATATCTAAACTACAAGAATTAATGTTCAGTTTTAAAACTTGGAAAAAAAATATTCCTAAAGAAAAAAATTTAAAATAAAAAAATAAAAGTCAGAGGACAAATCCAGAAATAGGAAACCAAAATATAATGCTGTGCATTTATATAGAAAAAGTTCTAAAAAGAATGATCAAAGAAAATAAGAGAAAAGTCACAAAAATCTAATATTTAGGACTCTAAAGAGGCTCTAACTATAGCCATAGTAGAGATTATTATAAATATAAGAAAATCGTATGGACAACTTTGTGCCTATAAATTTGCAAACTAACTGAAAATGATAATTGTATGAAAAATGGAATTTTCTATAGCTGATTCAAAAAAAAGTAAGAGCATAATATTGGGCCACATATACATACACAAATATAGAGTTGATCTATAACAAAATCAACATTAAAATCAGAAGTAAAGTAATAAAGATCAATAAATAGACTTGGATGCATGTTATCCATATAGAGTGGATAGCTTATAATGTATCAGAAAGTAAATTCCAGGTAGAGTCAGGCATTCAATATGAAAAGAACTTTCAAACTTTTGGAAGGTAATATAGAAGGATAATCTTATGATTTGAAAATGTGGAATGTTATCTCACAAAATTTACAAAGCACAAAAACCAGTTTCAATATTGTTCATTCTCTGCTGTTCTGTGTGACCTGGCAGGCTCTCAGAATGGGCTTCATTAAGGGGTTCCTGGTCTTCCGGCTTTTAGTTGGGTTCAAGAGAAGTGAGTCATGGGCTGGGGATTTGGCTCAGTGGTTCCTCAGCTGCCTTGCAAGCACAAAGGCCTGAGTTTAATCCCTGGTACAAAAAAAAAGAAATGTGACCAGAGGTCAAGGACAGAAGGAAACTGAAGGTTCCCTTCCCAGCCTGCTGCAGTGCTGTCTCTGTACTCTATGAGGGCTACAGTTGCTACCAGCCACCACTGTCCTTTCCTGCTGCCCTCCCAGGATTCTAGGAAAAACACTTCTCTTGCTTCCCATTTGGTGTGCTTGATGTTGTTTACTCTTGTCTGTGTTTACCCTTGTGGATGGCTTTTCAAAGCTCTGATAACATCTTTGCAAATATCCCATTCTTCAGCTTTCCACGGTTTTATAAGTTTGAGTATTTCATGTGTTCTCTTTCAAGACTCTAGAGAAAAATTTAAAGGACACAGAATGGTAAAATTGGTGTAAAACTTCTCCATAATAAAACAATCACAACATTGAAGAAAAGGAAGGAAGAAAATGAAGCAGGAAGGATGGAAGGAAGGAAGGAAAAGAGGGAGAAAGGGAAGGGAGGCTTAGACCTTGAATGTTCCCCCAAAACCCCATGTGTTGAGAAGTGGGACCTTTGGAGGTGATTGGGTCATGGGAGTGCTATAGTCATCAGCGGACTTATCCATTAATGAGTTCAGTAGCTGAAAGTGCTATTAGGAGATGGGGGGGTGGGACCAGGTTGGGGTTGGGTCACTGGAGATGGGGCCTGAAAGGGTGTGTTCTTGTTCCCAGATCTTCCCTTTTTTCTCTCTGCTTCCTGACCTCCATGAGCTAAGCAACTGTCCTCTGCTTTGCCGTCCCACTCTGCCATGCCGGCCTTGGATTCAGCTGACTAGGAAAACATGAGCCGAAATAACTCTCTTGTCCTTTACTTTGTGGGCTGGGTTTTGTATCTCCGTAATGAGGAGAGTCACTAAGACAAGGAGAAGGAAGACGACTGTCATAAACAGGAAGATTCTGTCATTAGTCTTTAAAGAATCACTATCCCAAATATTTATGGACCTCCATATCAATTAAACATGTGGAAGAAATATGAGCAGAAAATTAATAGAAGTGGGAATATGAATGGCAAAAGTCCAAATCATGACAACTACAGCAACAAAACAGAACGCGAATTAGAAATGTTCAGTCCCTGCAGACCTCTGACCCTCATTCCATCTCCAGCCTCTGGGAGAAGTGGTTGAGAAACAGATGGGCTGCAAGGCGCCTGAGGCCATCAAGGTCAGTACTCGTCTGGAAGCTTGTCTGGGATGGCAGTCATGTCTGGAGGGCAGAAGGAGAAGAAGGCACTGAGTAAAGCGTCTGAAATCCAGTCTGGGGTGGTGTGGGTGGAGCTGCCCTTCCCAGGAGCCTGGTGAGGACGGAGGCGAGAGTGAGAGTCCTGTTCTCAACAGAGACAAGGACAAGGCTGGGGACAGAAGAAAGTGAACTTAGGCAGGTCAGCAGCGAACTGTTAGAGTTCATCACTGGTGGATTCTTCCTCAGAGGCTGCAAAAGAGAATGGTGCAGTGCTGTGAGGGAGGCAGAGACCGTGGCTGCCCAAGTTCACCCAGGATGAAGACTGGAGACAAGGCCAGGCACACCCCAGGTTTCTTCTGCCAAACTGTCTGCATCATTTGTCCAAACTAACCTTCCTCCAAATCCCACCGTACCTAATCGTAAGTGTCTGCCAAACTAAAGCAACTTATAATTTCCTTTTATGTAAATTTCTCCTAGCTAATAATTTATCACTGTACTTAAATTCCTAAATACTTCTATTGGTAACTATGGTTATTTAAACGAGTACCTTTTAAAGTGTTGGAAAAAAAGATAATGAAGCAATTATATTTCTTTTCAAAATTGTGAGGGATCGATAAGCTATGCAAATAAAAGTAAACGTGCATTTTATTTATTTATTTATTTATTTATTTATTTATTTATTTATTTATTTATTTATTTTGGTACCGGGGATCGAACTTGGGTCCTTGCTCTTGCGAGGCAGGTGGCGGAACCACTGAGCTAAATCCCTGGTCCAAATGTGCATTTTAAACAAAGAAAAGTGGACCCCATCGTTCAGCATTTTAGTATTCCCATACTTCTCCATTTGGAGATCAGGACTACTGCTTTACAAACTATAAAATGTGTTCATCAGTTACCTGTGTTATGTTCTTGGAGCTCCAAATTCAATGCAACAAGTTATTAAGTGCTTATTAGGTTCAAGGTTCCGTGTCCCTGAGTAGCAAAGGAAGGGGGTGCAAAAAGTACGGGAAGCTTTTGGCATAGAAATGTTGTATAATGCTTGTACCTAAAAAAGCATTACTCCGAGAAATTTCAATCTCCATCAGTCTGCCCTTTTTCTGCAGGCTTCAATATGATCTCCAAATAGGTGTGTTTTCCCCTCACAATTGACCCTAAGGTTTGCTTAAAGCAATACGGCTGCTCCTGCTGCCTCACCTTTGTTTAATGAGAGCCATTTCCCAAGCCAACTTTGGGTTAATGGACTGAGATGGGAGAAAATCAAACATATCTCTCCGTTTTACACCAGATTGCCTTTCCGCCTGTGGCTTTAATCACTCAATCCTACTCACATCTGCCATAATAACAATTATGGCTTTCGCACTGCTTTCTCACCCAGGAGGATATGTCAGGGTATACCAACATCTCTCAACGGAAGACAGGGCAGATCCTTAATCTCTTGCCAGCATCAGAGGTAATAATTTTCCTCCATAAACCCCCAGGAATATGCCTTTTGGATCTTCCACCTATTGTTCTCAGAGGTCTGTGGCTCCATTCTGATTTATGAGTTTTCTTCTCTTCTTTCTCTTCTGAAATAAGTTTTAATTATGTAGACAGATTGTTTAAAAGTCTCTTTCTTCCTGTAAACAACTACTTATTTGCTAGTAGCATTTTATTTAAATGGTTTCCTCCTAACTGAACCTTCCTATACACCCAGGAATTATGTCTGCACATTGTTTAACTGCAGGATGTAGAGAAGAGAATGCTAGCTTCTTTTCATATATTCCTGTGAGGAATTCAGTCCCGGAACACCTCAAATTGCAAATCTCCCTCAGGAAATGTTCTTTGTTGCATATGTCTGGAAAGCCCATAATATTTTAGCTTTGATTCCTAGTAAGAGCAAAGTATCACCCATCAAAGAAGCATTGCGATAATATCCTCAATTCTTCTACTTTTTAAAAACTTTTTTTACGACCAAAATCAAAATAATTGAAATCCTCAAAAGCACCAGTGAAAATGTTAACAGTTGCTCCATCCTCAGGGAAATCAGAGAAGTGGGTTTGAAAAAGTAATTCAGGTGATGCTGACATCCACAGCTCTTTTTTCTGTCCCCATTCACATAAAAGGTAAAATATAAAGAAAGTGAGTTTGTGTGATCTGGCTCTTTTCTTCTGCATAAACATTTTTTAGGTACAGTATTAGTTGGATATTTTTCCTAACCCAGAAATCATTCTAATTGTTTTGTATAATTCTCTACTAATTCTGACCTTTTACATTACCCTTGTAGCCCATCGTTTAAGTCAAAATTGGTTTTGGTCAATGATGACTAAATACTGTCCTTCGACTAGCTTAGCAATTTCCCACAGCAATTATAAGCTTTTACTTGGCCCTCTGTCATGAATTAGTGTGCTCCCTCAGAGACCCTCCTTGAAGATATTGAGGCATATTTGGAATCAGAGAGATAATACTTAGGCACAGCAGTGATGTCTTCATGTGGAAGAGGCATTTACTCAGCTTTCCCAAAGAAGATGTAAGGTCAGTGGGCAAGCAACAGAGCCAAGGACTTTGGCAAGTGCCCAGTACGAAGGCATGGCCTTGGTCCCAGCAGCCAGGCTGCTAACCAGGAGTGGTCTGGGCAGGTAACTGCAGTTCATGGGGAGCCAAGATTCTTAACTTGGGTTTGGGGAAGGGGTACAAACTTATTGGCATTTTATGGAAGCGTTTGTGTGTATGTAGATTTAAGGAGGCAAGGAGTGACACATTTTCATCACCTTCTCCATAGTGGGTGTGACCTAAAATAATAAAAGGCTAAAATCGGAGTAAATCAGATTATTCTAAGAGAAGGTCATTTTAGTATTTTTAAAATACAGTAGCCTTTTATTAACAAAATAGATTTCTGTAATATGAGATTTCAGTACTATTATTGTGGGAGAGATCCTTGAACTCTCACCATTTAACATGTATTTTTATTCTTTCAAGAAATTTAAAATTTACTGTGTAAATTGGAGAAATCTGTTACTTTTACATGAAACAGAAATACTAGATTAAGCTCTTCACTTCTGAACTTTATAGAAAACCAGCATTCTGTAGCTCTACCTTCAACCAGTTTGAGGGAAAGAACTGCATCTGTAGTGAAAATATACAGTTTTTCTTTTTGTGATTACTCCTGAGATAGTACAGTATAACAACTGCTTATATAATATTTGCATTGTACGAGGTATGATATGGTAAGTATGATTAAACAAGAAATCTATAAATGATTTAAAGTATACCAGAGGATGTACATAGATCATATGCAAATACTGGGCCATTTTATTTAAGAGATAAATATCTGCAGATTTTGGTATCTGTTTTGGTCCTGGAAGCAGCCACCTTTGGATGTGGAGAAGCAATAGTATTTTTATGATGGAGTATTTTCCTACATCCTGTGAATGTGTTTTACAAAATTCATTATTTTGCAATCCGTTCTTCTGGCTTACAATCATGCTAAAATGACCCAACCCTTAACTTTACAATAAAAAAGGCTTAAGTCTGGTCAAGCTTCACCTAATTAAGTCTTGGGGTGTTACTTATTAACTATAGTATAGCACATTCCTTAGATTAGATAAAAGTTTGCAAAAGCACATTGGCATTCCGCGGACATCTGCTTCAGTCGTTCCCTGGTTTCAGAGCACTACAATGCATGTGCGTCTTCAGTGTTGCTGATGCGCTGCAAGATTTGTTTCATCATAACTGGGTATAAATGCCATAATATATGTGTCATGTGGATTTTTTAAAAATTCTAGGTTACTTTATGGAATGCAGAGCACAAGAAAGGATTGAAGCCTTAGGAGAGAGCAAATCATGTGGTCTTCATATTCAATAATGAAGAGAGATGCAGCCATCTGAAATGGTCATGAACCCCAAACAAGTCTTCCTGTCCCTGCTGATATTTGGAGTAGCAGGGCTCCTCCTCTTCATGTATTTGCAAGTCTGGATTGAAGAACAACATACAGGTAACACATGGACTTTTTTTTCTGTTTTATTTATGACAACTGCGGCCCTTTTCAGTTAAATAGGCTGTGATGTTTACAGATATATGGTAAACTGAAATATTTGCAGTATCAACAACAATTCCAAAAATATGAGTCACAAAATAAAATTGCTAGGCTCTTAAAAGAAAAAAATAACTATACAACTCCGGTGGCTGTTTGCTTGGTTGCTTAACACTTGGAATTTTTGTTATGTCTGTGAGGTGCAGCAGACCCCTGCTGCCTAGTGTAGGTATCTTTTAGATAATTCCTCTACAAAAATATTGCTTTTAGCCTCTCTGGTCTTTCCACTGGACATCAGGCACAGGCCTCAAAAGGGCTAAATATAGAGAAAACTCTCTCCTAATGCCTTCTTAATTTTTGTATTGATACTCAGCTTTGGTGTGGAAATTCTTTTCTCTGTTGTCCATAAAGCAGAGGAAAGGATTGTGAAGGACTAGATGGTAAACGTTTCAGGCTTTTCAGGCCATGATATTTCTTTCATAACTTCCCACCTCTGTGACTGCATTACAGAAGCAGCCACAGATGATAAGTAAAGGGCTTTGTTGCAGTAAAACTTTATTTATAAAATCAGATGGTGGGTCGGATTTGGTCGGATTTGGTCGGCAGGCAATAATTCAGTGACTCCTACTCTATTCATCTTGTGGTTCCTTTGTTCAGGTCACAGTTGCTGCACATTGGAAACACATAACTACAGTTAAGATGGATTGTATTTATAGTGATCATAGTATTATTAAAGCAATATCTGAGAACATTCAGCTGTTGTGAAGCTCACTTCTTTTCCATTGGTAGAACTTGACTATAGCTTATGATAATTAAGGAAAATGAAGCAAAATCAAGTGATTTCTTAGTCGTCCACAGTTGTGATTTATTTAAAGTTATTCTAGATGTAAAACCCTTAAGAATCTACATTCAATTATAATTCAGTACTGAGTCACAAAATCAATAATTTTAAAAGTCAGTTCCATTTTCAAATGCCTCCCTTTGGTTTATCTTCACTAGTACTTTGAATGTATTTAATTTATATAGGAGCATTTATGAAGAAGTTGCTGATAATTATATTCCATAAAATCTTTAACATATTCAAAAGATTTTGTAATCCCCCTTATAATTTATATGGTTATGCTAACTTTAATTTATAAGGTTATGCTAACTTTTCCATATTACTGAAATAATTTATTATAACATAGTTCATGGAACCGCTTGTGAAATGTATAGGCTGATTCTCCTGAAGTGTAAGTTGTAAGACAAGTCCTGTCACATAGCAGAGCTTCAGTGGGTGCATGTAGAATAAATGAATGAAAGAATGACTAAATTGAAAACTCACCATAAACTATAGGCTGGAACGCCACAAAGGCAGGAGAATCTAAAGGTGTCACGATCAATCTAGTATCATGGTTTCATAACAGATCCCACAATGGAGGATCACAACAAGACTTCAGTATGTCAAGGAGTATATATGGGAGAAATATGGTTTAGTCTGTCAGTGATAAACTATATCATATTCCAGGAAACAAGTCATATAATGTTTCCCTACAAATAAAATGCAGTTCATAAAATGTGTCCACAAGCTACCATTTACTGGTGTCTTAATACTGCTGCCAAATGTTCACATAGATTTTTCTCCGACCCTCATTATATCTTTCTAGGTGGGTGATATTCTAATGTACAGCTGAAGAAACTGTGGGTCTGAGGGATAAGGGACTTATCCAAAGCCTCACATGTGTAGGTTTTGGTGCAGAGAGAAGGGCCAGGATTTGAACTCAGGCTGTACTGCTATGAGGTCCATGCAGCTCCCTTGTGTCTCACCTCCCAGAGGGGAAAGGTGAGGATTATGATCCTTCTGCAGTATGGACGAAGCAATGAGTGAAGGCTAAGAGACTTGCCTAGAAGTACAAATCTAAGAGTTTTCAAAGTATGATCTGTACCTAGGCCTTCCCGCTCATGAAGCCTAGATGAGTCTTCTGACTGAAGTGGTGGATAAAATAGACATATAATAAATGCAACAGTGTCAGTGCAGCTCTTTTAAATCCCTGAAATTAGCAAATGAAGCAGAACACAAATGCATAGATATGTAACCTTTGCTGCAAGTTGGACTCTTAATTTGGGTTCATCATTTTCCAAGCATTGGAAATTATTTTCATTGATTAAGATTGGCTGGTCAAACATTAATCACTCATTCTCCTCAATTTTATTTGTAATTTGCTAAAAGTGCCTTCTTGGATCTTCAATGTATTTTAAATGATTTGCACAATATCCCAAACTACTCATGACAGCAAACATAAATTTTAAACTTAGGATTCTGTTAGGAAAGTATTTCACTAAAATTTAACTAAAGCTATATTATTCTTTCTGAGCACTTTCATGTGGCATTGTGTCATACTAGACTAGAAGCCTGTGTTACCTTCTGTACTTTCCCAGATAATGAGAGACATTGGGATTTTAAATAACACTGGCGGTATTGGAAATTTTCAAATAAGCTTTGTTTTTACATCATAAAATCTGGCTATGTGTTTCAATGATAAACAAGAAGTTGAGGAAAAAAATTAACTTTTAGATAAGTTAGAACTATCACACAAAGAACCTTGTAAGATAGGCTTCATTTTGGTTCCCTAATTAGGACAGACTCTTATGATCAGAGTAGCTTTTATCTCAGATACATTTCAGTCATAGATGAGAATTTATCTTTTGTTTGATACTTTTAAAATCTAAGCATTGGACTGTTTTTCTAAGCCTCTTTGGCTTTCATGGTCTTTTTCTGTTTAAGAATTTCAAAATAAATCTTTAGAGTGTTCTGATTTGTGAGTAGATAATTATAGACATTCTTTGGAATTGAGGTGGGAAAAATCTATGATGAAATTAAATTCTGTCTGATCGTGGCATACAGCATTCCACAATACTGCTCATTTTTGATACATAATCAATTATATGATCCATTACTTTGTGGCTTGATATATTGCTATATTTACTTCACACTAGTTTTTGTAGTTGTTAAGAGTACATGTTTTCCCTTCCAAAGGATCTTGAAGAGCTCACGTGTTCTACCTCTTCGTTTTGTGACTGAGCGAATTTCTTAAGAGGTTGTAAGCCTCAGATTCCTCATCTGTAAAGCAGGAATGATAATATTCACCACACTGAGTCACAGTGCGTGCAGCTTGCTCTGCATGGGGCCTGGCAAGCAATACTGTACAGTGCATGTAACATCTTATCCTACAAATAGTGCAGAGCATCGTCACCCTTCCCTGCTCTGAGCTGTCACAACTAACACTCGCCAGTTTAGGAAGACTGAATTGTGTTCAAGCTTATGTCTTGGCTGATTAAAGAGAAAAAGAAAAGACTCCATTCCAGACTTGATAAAATAGCTGGAAGAATCCAAGTGGCATGGGGCCATCCTGGTTCCCAGTGTGGACAGTGGAAGGAGAGGGATAATCCTGAGTGCAGGGGCGGCTGTTGTTCAGCAGCATTTAACATCTCTGCAGAATGCTTCCATGGGCAGATGTTCAGCCTTTCAACAATTGCTGTGCTGAAGGTAGGGATAGAACAGTGAGCCAGATTTACTGCCGTGGACAGTAAGGCAAAAAAGGATCCTGAGTCCAGGCCAAGGTGTGGTACAAAAGGACAGTAGTCTATCATGACAGAAAGGAGACGGGACCTCCACTAGTATCTATGCCAGTCTACAACCTCCTTTGGAAGCACCAAGTATTAATTATATTAATTAGTAGAATTTGCTTCCTTAACCTCTGCTTATTCACCCTCTGATAGATACTCCATGAAGTTCACTTTTCTTCCATCACACATTCTGATCATTGTTACAGAGAAGAAAAATCCATATTTTTAACAATTTCATGAAGGAAAGACCAGCCAAGTCAATCACATCCAAGCAATAACATTCACTCTATATTCCTTTTACAGTTTCATACTATGCTTGTACAGCATTTGTGTGAGAAATATGCATATCTGATAAAATTTCCTATTAAGTAATAAATAATTCTGCATCCCAGCTAAAAGTTTACATTATTACTCTTTCTGAGATTTTTTAGAACCTAGTTTAGTTCCAAACTGAAATAGTTGTCTGGAGGTTATCCCTGTATTATAAAAACCTTTCAAAACAATCTCTGCATTTTTTAATTCATGATAAATAATGTTTGGCTACTTATTCATAATGTTCTATATGTATACTTTAAATTCAAATACTTTTACTGTTCTTTCTTATCTCAAAATAGACATTTTTTTCTGATTTCTACCATTTTTTTCCCTGATATACAAGGAGTTCTAAAACTGGAATTTCATTTAGGATTCAGCATAAGGGCCTACAGTCAATTATTTTGCTGAGTTATCATGGGTAGTTTATGAAGGAGTCATGTAACTGGAGCCCAACGTGGGTCCAGGATGTAGCTCAATGGTAGAGCACCTTCTTAGCATGCATGAGGCCCGAGATTCGGTCTTCATCGTCACCAGTTCAGGTTCTATAAGACATGCTTTGCTCGAGAACTGTATCTTATGGGTTCATGCTGTGAACGTTCTGGAGGTCAAGGTTGTTCAAATCCCACATGCTGTTATCAGTAGCACAATAGCCAAAATGTATGTTCGCTTTCTTTTCTTTTTTTCTTTTTTTTTTTCTGCTTCAAAAGCACAGCAAAAATCAGTGGTCTCAGTTGTATTTTAACCCTCCTATGTTTATAGTATAAATGCAAAAAGTGGTGGCTACAAGCTTATGATTTCAGTGGAAGGAAAGGGAACTTACTGCTTTCTCTCAGATAATTGACTCTGGTTTTCACAACAAACTAATATCTATACTTCTTATGTTTTCTAGGGAGACTTCATCTTGCTTTCATTTTCAAACTAAGTATTCTATTTCTCAACACTGAACCATATTTTTTGGCATGTGAAGTTTTATTTCCAGACAGGGCTGGTATAATTCTTTTCTCCTGAGTCTCTCTGATGAGACAGTATATTCTCTTCCT